TATTTATCTATTTTCAACGAACCTCCAATTTCCACTATTTCACATATCTTTTAAAATTTCCCCCAAGTCTTTACGCACAATTTACTTAACATACCTGAACTACTTACCCGGTCTCAAGAACTATGAATATGCAAAGGCACTCAGGTCTTTGGGGCTAACCTAAACCAGCAGCCTCTAAGTTCATCCGGAGACCATTTTACTGGGAAAGCTCGAAAGGGGAAAACCCCACATGAATAATTACAGCCCACGCAGTTCATTTAATTTCACTTGAGAGGGTGGAAAACCCTTTCGAAACGTAATACGCGTGGCACATGAATGAAAATATGTAATGAAGAAATTTATAACAAACTTTTGCAAATGGCAACAGACTGTTGGAAATTGCTATGGATGAAGAAGAAAGTAACAGGGTGGTAAAAAATTATGAACATTAAATGTAAATTAAGCTAATCAATTAGGTTTAAATTGTGCTTAAGATTCGCAACGCTTTCTTCAGTGCACAGAAAATATTTATTTGTTTTGTATACAATAAGAAATACGAAATCTAAACCATCTAAAAATAAAATAGTTAAATATTAAACTAGGGAATTATTAAATATCGAAGGTACAAATGTTTTAGAAAATATTAATAATATAAAAAAATTAATTAAAATGTAAAAAATAAATTAAAAAAAAAGGATTTATATTTTTTCCCGGTGCATTCAAGTTCAAAGTACGCTCTACTAGCGACTTCTGGCCCATTTGCTGCCTAACCCAATTAGCCGAAGTAGGCGAATTCCTTTATTCCTCACCCTTCAGCCGCTATAAATGACCGACATTTAAATTGTGATCAATTGAGGAAGTCTTCCCATCGCCATCACCATAGCCCACTCGTAAACCCTTTGAATCCCGTGCTGTGTAGTATCTGTTGCCATTGCACAGTGGTGGCGCCCATAGGCCAAAATTCAAAAAATCGACGGAACCTAAAATGGGCCAAGGGTATGCAACTTTTCTCTAAAATGCCCAAGCTTTTTCGTGGCATACCAGACATTTCTGGAAAAATATCAGTACCTTCTAAAAATCGACCTAAAGTCGTGAGCACGTGTTAAGTAGCAAAGCAAAACTGGGCGCATCACTAATTTTCGCAGCAACATTAAACTTTGAAACCGTGTATTTCTTATATTTCGTGTCCAAATTAATATTCTGTGATATGGATTTTTAAGTTGAAGGTATTATCTATAAGTCGAGATGTGTATAATAATCGTACTTGTTAAATTGTTTTCGTTACATCAATTTGAAATAATACATGTTTTGTGTCTATTTTGTGAACGTCTTTTTTATGTTTAGCTAAGGTTTTAGCGATGATCCCACAAAATTCCACAATTTGTTGGTATGCCAATTTTTTCGTCTGGGTTTCAGGTAACATGTGTGTTAAAATTGACTGCAGAAATTTGCAGATGTGCCCACAATCGTAAAAATACTAAAACCTTCATAAATTTTTCAAGGGCAGAACTGGCCGAAAAACAAATTTTTGGCCGCTTTTTACTTGTTGTGCTGTTCCTTTGTCTTCGTCTTTCGTGTGTGAATAGTTTTCCAACACTAAATATTGAATTACTAATAGATTATATTTTTTATACCCGTTACTCATAGAGTAAAAGGGTATATTGTATTCGTACAAAAGTATTTAACAGGGAGAAGGAAGCGTTTCCGACCCTATAAAAGTTATATTCTTGATCAGGGGCACTAGTCGAGTCGATCTAGCCATGTCCGTTGTCCGTTGTATGACCGCTGAGATCTCAGAAACTACAAAAGCTAGAAGGTTGAGATTTCCCACATATTCTTTGGCTTCCTACGCAGCGCAAGTTTATTTTAGAAGAGCGCCACGCCCCTCTAACGCCCACAATCGCCCACAAACAATTTTAAAATGGGTCCTGCGCCCACATCTTTAAAGATTTCCGAAGTATAAATGTAATTTTGTTGTGTATACCTATCGAAATGTAGAAGACATTTTCAAATCGGACCATTCATTAAAAAGTTATACGCAATCAAAATTTATGTATCTATCTCCCTCCACTCCTTTAGCTGAGTTACGATTATTAGTCGGGCCCTAATACAGCGTTCGCATTCCCTTTAGCTGAGTAACGGGTATTAGATAGTCGGGACACCAACCCGACTATAGCGTTCTCCTTGTTTTTTTTTTATTAAAGTTGTAACAATACTAAAATTAATTTAAAAAAAAAACGGCACATGAAACTGAAGTCCTTCGGCCAAAAAATGATATTAAATCGTATCATTGTTCGTTTTGTTTTTTAATTTTTTGGTGCGGGTGGAGTTTAGTAATTACTCTCACATTTTTATATTGCAGTTCTAAGTTTGTAAATACGTACGGTAAACAAACCAGCTTGTTAATATTACATAAATTGAATTTTTAATTGCCTTCTCATGTAAACGAAACTACTCAGAAAATCGTTCCTATGGAAGCTATAGGATATAGTGGTACGATCTGGCCAATTTTTGTTACATATATTTATAATATTTATTTAGATTTTTGGTAAAAATTTCATAGCGATAGCACATCTAGAAGTATTTATGGCCGCGGCTCCGTACAAGCCCGACCACTGTGCATTGCATAGCTGAGTTAATGATTGGAAATTAATTTGTCAGCAGGGGGAATGGGCCAATGGGATTACGCAATTGCGTAGACAAATTGCTGGCAATTAGCAGGGAGTTCGAAGACGACGACAAAGGCATTGTTCGTCAGGCGATTTCTAGGTGATTCCCATAGTTCAGTTCAGGTGGATGAGCCTCTAACTTCGACTCCTCTTCACGGACAATGGCTATCGATCTGTGTCAGGTGTGGAGATAGTGTATTGATGAGAATTAAGTAGTAGATTAATTGCCCGATGGGAATTTCTATTGCGAAAAGGATGAAGCAGTCATCACCTTAAGAGGTCATCAGTCCAGGAATTTATTTATATTGTATTGCTCAATGGCAGTTAATTAAGAAATGCAAGAATTTAAATCCAATAATTTGTATGGTTATTATTAAGCAGCATAATTTAATTGGGGAATCCTTAAAACATATATCTTAATTTATCTATTTATCTAAAAAATAAAACTTTTAGTCTCATAAAATGCATTTGCAAATGTCCCCCAGAAAATTTTATTTAAACTTTAAAGTAGTTTTCCCTTACAGACTACAACTCATCCACTATAAAAAGCACATTCCTTATAACCCCCAAAAAACAACATTTTTAATGGTCGCCCCAAAGCAATAAAAAGGCGTCACCACGAACGAGAAATTTCTGCCAACTTGAATGGCCTAATCAAATTAAGTACTAATCCTTGGGAAAAACCGCGAACAATTTAAAATGATTGTTAAGTTAATTTCCCAAAACAATTACGATGGTCGAGTGCACACTCCGAGGAAATCTTCAGGAGAGATTTGAATATAAAGCGCAGGCGCGAAGAGAGGCGATTTACTTATTGCATGCGATAAATTTGTATCACGCCGTAGGATGAAAGGATGATTAAGGACGAAAGACTGGCGCTTTACATATGTGTAAATTGTTAGCAGATGGCCATTGAACAAGACAAGACAACAATAATGAGTTGGCTTTTTTTGGACAGGTGAGGGGGGCAACTTTTTGAAGTAACTGAAGGAAGGATAATCCACTTAAGAGTGCCTTTGGCTACATATATAGTATGTGTGGGCGATGTCCTGGCGACAACAATGTTGCACACACAGTGCGAAAATGATCAGAAAAATCAGCGATTCAATTTTAAATAAAATATGTTTTTAAATAATTTTGTAAAATTATACTTTCATTAATTCTGAAATCAAAGTCCTATTCCTAAAAATCTGAAATATAAAAAACATATACAAAGTACGATTTTATTAGTTATAAATTATGTAAACAAGTTTTTAAGATGGAAAAATCTGACTTTAAAATTGTTTTTCTCTGTATGGGTACTTGGAACTTGGGGAGAAATTGTTTTATTACCCGGGCGAAGCCGTTGAGTGTGTGTTGACTGAAAACAAAGGTGCGCACAATAAATTACATTGTTACACGGAAACTTACGACCAGGACACGGACACACTGGCATATCTGTGCATGCATACGTGTGTATGTATGGGAGAGGTCCTGGCAGGAAGTCAGCAACAAGCGCCGCGTTAATGAAAAGGATTTCTCCGGCATCCACATGTCTGCAGTTAGTTGTACCACCCAACTCCTCGCCATCCTTCAACTGACTTTCCTCTTTGGGTTATTTAATATTTAAACTCCAGCCAGACGGCGGATTTTCTAAGTAGAAGGATAACGGGGACCATAGTCCTGTCTTTGATGTCCTCGACCCATTAGTTGAGGTCTCAACTTTTGCATAAATAAACGCCTCAGTTCATTAGTGAGTCTCGCCTTCAGCATCTCCCGATTCTCAATTGCAAAAAGGGTTCGCTTTGGGGTCCCACTGCGGTTCCATGAGCCATCGGTTACTGCGGTTGGCTTTCGGGCCCAGAATGCGTGAAAGTGTCATAAGCCTGGAAAAAGCTAGAGGGGAAGATTTTATGAAGGACCAGACCGCAGTTACAGCTGGCAAATAGTTGGCTTGTTGTTCTGCGGCTTTGCTTTAAAGTTTAATGATTTCTTAATCGATTTTCGGAAAAGGGAAAGTTAAAAGCTTCCCCAAAATACTAAATAATTTGGTGTGTTAATGTTGTGTTATTTAGAAAAAGGATTCAAGGGGTAAAAACGGTTAAACGAATTTTTAATTGAATTTAAAAAATAATAAGTTTTCCATTTCGAAAGAAGGACTAAATAGAATAGTTAGAAAAATTACGATAGCTATATTATTCCTTCAAGTACTACAATTAATCCTGAATTTAAATTTAAAAAATTTTTTAGAGTTAGAAATTATCAACAAAGCCTTGAGACTTTTAAAAAATATTATTTATTCCTATTTCTTAACTCATCGCAATCCCATCAGTCCCTGAATCGTAGCAACTGATATTTTTTCCATCGAAAATAGCCAGTCGAAAGCCGTAGGTCAAAATTCAACCACCCCAAAGCCTCGTTTCCCACCTGTTTCCGATTTTTTCCGGATCCGGACAGCCCAGCCATCCCGTTCGATCCATGGGTACGGTGGTCAGCACGCTGCAGCGCCCCAACCTCTTTGTCAGCATGGACAGTACGCATGCGCAGTTCGTGCGGGAAACCATCAGCAGCAACAAGGTGGTGATCTTCAGCAAGACCTACTGTCCCTACTGCAGCATGGCCAAGGAGCAGTTCCGGAAGATCAATGTCAAGGCCACGGTTATCGAGCTGGACCAGCGGGACGATGGCAACGAGATCCAGGCGGTTCTGGGCGAGATGACCGGTTCGAGGACCGTTCCGCGGTGCTTCATCGACGGCAAGTTCGTTGGCGGCGGCACCGATGTGAAGCGCCTCTATGAACAGGGAATCCTGCAGAAATACTTCCAATGAGAAATGGGGCATTACGTACGATTTTCCATTTTGATTCTTGTTTTCTGACACAATAAACCGATTGCAGTTGGCCGTTATGATGGTATTTTTAAAGAGGTGGGGAAGCTAATTTAATAAAATTGATAAAAAAGGATTTAAAAATGGAGAATACAAAAATTTTTATTGTATTAAAATAAATATTTGTAAATTCAAAAAAGATTTACTTTAAAATTGGAATGATACAAAAATGTTATATTAAAAATAAATATGTACAAAAAAATTTAAATACAAACCTGTTATTATATTGTATTTAAATATTTAAAATTAATAAAAACTACTTCCGAAAAAATGCATTTTAAATTTACTTAAATTAACACCCAAAAAAGATTTACAAAAATTTTTTTTCCAGGTGTTGGCTTGAGAGAAAAGAATTAAAAAGCGGCAACAAAGGAAAGGCAAACAGGAGGCGGATGCAGAGAGCCGCCTTTTATCTGCTCAATATGACGCTTAAGTTGTTCCCGCTGGGAGATCACAGTTGTCTGTGGGCGGGGAGTAAACAATTAAGGAGCGAATCCTGTCGGAGGCTGCAGTAAATGCGCTTTCCTTTCACCTGCAGTCGGCAGTCGTGTTTCATTGTTGTCCTTTTCCCAACCCCCCCAACAATTTCCAACCCATTTGCATATGGAAAAGTTGAAAGCAACGTCATGAGGTCAAGGCACGTTGCATTAAAGTTTCAAGAGCCCATCGAACAATTCACAAAGGGCATGCACACGATAGTTTCCACATCTCATCGGGCATATGTATGTGCTGCAAATATATACTTTTTTATGACTCAGACAGCCAGCTGAAGAAATTCGTAGAAGACGTAAGCTTAAATTGATTGAAATTTCCTTCAAATTGCTTGTAATTTGTTTGCCAAATTGTTTTCCTTGCTTTCGTTTTTGTTTTTAAAAATTACTCTTAACAATGTCGAATTCAGTTTACTGTCACACACGCGAAAATTGATCGCAATTCACCTGGGAAAACGAGTAAAAAAATGTCACGACACACGTGTCGTATGCGTAATTTGGCTCATCGATTCTTTTTTTGGGGTTAAAATTCACGTAAGCGGCGACAAAAGGATTGATTATGGAAATTGTTGAGCAATCAGGTCTTTAGGCCTCAGATTGGTAAACATCTTTTAACCAGTTGGTACTCGATTTGTTTTTCTACGATATTTTTATTTTTTTGTATTAATTAAAGGTAGAGAAATATTTTTTTCAATTACCTACTTCCTAGCATTTTTTACGTTATTTTAGTCTATTCCCGAAAACTTTTTCATTTTTTTACTTCAAGCATGAAAACTTGTTACGACCATCAACACAAAGAATTTACATCTGAAATGGAATGGAAATTTTTTACGATCCCCAACGCCAGCCACAATTTTTTTTTTCGCTATTTCTAGCCAGCCAAGGGAGTGGAAAAAAATGTGTTGCAGTGGCATATAACTTTGTTTTAATTTGTTGAAGGATGAATGCAATTGCCACCGACGGACTGTCAGAGCGAGAGAAAAGAACTGGCCGTCGCTGACTAACTCAATAAAAAATGCATTTGGCATTTTGATTGCGATATTATCTAGTCAGTGGGGCAACATTGTTGCCAGGCCTTAATTTCATTTGCCCAGACATTTTTTAATGGCCAATATAATTGGGAGTGGCCGAACAATGTATGCAGCACTCAATCTTTCAATTATCAGCGTGTTAAGTTCCATAGGGCGAACAAAATTCTCTCGCATGAAAAGAATTTATTAGAATTTTCTTTGACCAGACGAGTTGCGGGTTTGAATAGTTTTCGTGGCTCCACACCATTTTTCCCTTGCCTCCTTCTGACCCCCAAAACTGCGGCAGCCAGACTCCTGTTAGACCATCCATATATCATATAGTTTCCAGCGAACTCTGTCTGCTCCATGTGCATGTGCGAGTTGCAGCGGCTCCTTCGCCTTTGATAGACGATTTATTAAGCGTTTTATTATTAGTTTTCCCGTTCGGTGGCTTTTGTGGCATTTTTGATTACAAATTCCGGGGCATCGGAGTCTTGTAATTACCAAAAACGACCGAAAAATGCTCGGTTATCGTTATCCTTATCCCATTGTTGAAGATTCTTTTTGCGGCAGCCGGGAAGATAAATTGGAGTTCACAATGTTTACTTTAACTGGCTAACTGAATTATTTTATTAATTTTACAGAGCAAATGTTCAAGGTATATTTAGACTGCAAAAGAATTGTTTATCATATTTCAATCGCCCATCTAATGACATCCCATCAGTCTTGAAATACTAGCCTCTCTGGAGTCTTGTGACTTCGCAGGGGAGAACGTGTTAAAATTTCTCAAAACGACACTTGCACGTAACATGTCATGCCAACATATAATTATATTATTGCTGTATTTCTTTGTTTTTACACATGCTATCCCCATACTGTGACTTTGAGCCAGGTCCAGGTCTCAGTTTTGGCCATGGCCATGCAACTGAGATCTTTGCGCGCTGATAAACTTTTGTGGGGTCACAGGCATACAGTTACACTGAGAAAAAAATAATTGGTAAAAAATATTTTGAGTTTTTAAATATTTAAAATAAATACATTTTGCATTGAATTTGAAAACCACATTAAATTTGTATATTAAACTCCCAAAATTAAATTTATATGTTTAGATTTCTCTCTCTCACCTGTGAACATTTTTCCTGGTGTACACTGCATCAGAAAAAGTAATAGCAACAATGGGGAAGCAACGCACGTGTTAACAAGGATGCGATAAAAAAAATAGTAGAAGTGGAGCGAAGTGAGGAAATAAATGCCGGAATGACAGGAAATATGTGTGCGTGACATTGTTACTTGGGTCTGCCGACCGGAACCAAAGGTGGGTGGCTCCCATTGTCGCTATTCCACTGGCTGTTGGATGTTGGATGTCAACACGAAAGCAACAGGATATGTGTGTATATAATTATATAGAATGTACACCACCTACTTGGAAAATGTCTGATAGCATTTGATGTAAAAATTGCACTAAGCTAGCTCAAATGCAATGGAAGGTCAATGCTATTGCATTAACGGGATATCATATAAATAAAATTACATTAAAGTCTTCAAATTATTTTAGACGGATTTTATACTAATAAAATTATAATTATAAAAATTAAAATATAAAGATGAACTTAAAAAAATAAAAAAATATTTAAATTTAAGTATCTAGGAAAAAAATCAAAAAAAAAGTCGAAAATGATATTTAAAAAACCGCGGAAATGCCAAAAATAAAATATTTTTATTAAAAACATAGATGGATTATTTTATGTATTAGTAGTAATTAACTTTAAGCAACACTAAAATAATTAAATACGTTTTTTTGCCCAATCTATAAATAATAAATATAGAAATCTCCAACTGCCTAGCATAAATTTTGTATTAGATGGTAAAGTTGCCACCAAACTTTGTCGCTAACTTTGCCCCATGAACAAATGCCAGTTCTTCCAATTCCCCGTGGGATCATCGACCTCATCTCCACCTCCACATCCAATGGTAGGTAATTTGATACCTTGCGATAGCTAAGCATTTTAGATAAACTTTCAACTTTTGGGGGCCATTAATCAATTAATTAAGTATTTTATGAATATTTAAGGGGGAGTAAAGTTATGGCATCATCACAATCGTTTGGCTTTGGAATCGGCTGGGGAAATGGGCATTTTTGGAAAGGAGTTTACCGCATGAATATTTCAAGGAAGTGTTCCAGACAACCGGGAAAAGAGTTTCGCCGGCATAATCGAGGGCCCGTTGACGAGATAATAACTTGAGGCCGGCAGAAAGGGATAATGAGTTTCAGTTGATGAACAGCCAACTTTGCGAGGAATAAGCAATAAGAATACGCGAAGAAGGGCTGCGAGAAGAAAAAAAACTTTCCGACTAATTAATTAAATGCGCTATAAAAATGTTTGCTGCTCTTGGTCTGGCAAAAGTTGAAGCATGAAAAATGGGCGGCAGGAATTTCTTGCCAGGCAAAAGAAATGGCGCAAAAGAGTGCACGGCAAATGTTTAAGTTATGCGAAAATGTTGACTCAAAAAATTATGCAGGTGGGAAACGCTGGGTTGTTTGAGTTCCCACTGTATTGACATTTTTTGTTTTTGCCTCCATCGCGATAAGAAAAAGTTTTTAATGAGTTTACCAAATGCCGAGCAATGCTTTGGAGAGCTCGAGATGATTAGTTGGCAGCGAAAAGTTTCGAGTTAGTCGCGCGTTTGCCACGATTAATTTATTAGATTTTTATTTTAAGCGTAAAAGTTTGTCAGGGATTTTGAGATGACAATAAGTCAAATACTATACTACAAAAGAAGGTATTTAAAATTATATAAACTTAACTTGCACTGCAACCTATAATTAATAAATATGCTTGAGAAGACACGCAATTGGATATTATTTGGTATTTTGACTTAATATGCGGCATCAAAGAATTTCCGTGGAAGAGAATTCAGCAGAATTGCATTATTTAATACCAATTTTAATAGTATTGCATGCACAATACTTACCATGCGCATATCGATTTGATCCCGTTGTTTATTAATATAAATTAAACTCATAAATGAATCATATAAATAGGTTCTTCCTTCAAGATCAGGTACAAAAATAATAATTTATCATCACATTTATGTTTCATCTCGCAACCAGCATGAGGTTTAGAGTAATATAAATGCTCCTCCATTACGTCAATATTTTTTCCTCTTTCCGTAATGCGATTTCAGTTGCTGCTTTTGTAAATATCCTCGAACCGTTTTCAGGTGTCTAGTGCAAGTCCCTCACCTCGACATCCTGCTTACAATCGCTCATTTGTCAACATCATTCACAATAGCTGTCAATAGCAAGGAACTCTGGGGGATTTTCAATCCAGCGTTATTCAATGCACTCCACATAGCTATTGCATATCCATTCATACATCCAAGTGTAGCCACCCCTGGAGCAGACGCATGCCCATATTTACCTGCCCCACACATTAATGGTCAATTTCATTCCTATTTGATTGTATAGGATCGTATATGTCTGGGCCAGAGAAGAGAGAACCGGACCTCTTGCAAATTACCGCAGCCTCCTGTGGAGCTCGCTAAATGCGCGTTCGTGGGGCCCATTCGGTTTACAGGGACCCCAAATCCCCTTCGCACTTTGCACCCCTCGAAGGACCGAAGGACCTCATGTGGGTTTTGTCAAATTAGCGCATCGTTTGTTGTGTGCTCCTTTGGGCTCGTCCAACCAGTAGTAAACGCAGACGAAAAACTTGTTAATTTTAAATCGAATGCCGTTCTTGTTGGCCATTTCCTGGGCAGTCGCCACTTGGCTTGAAGTGGCTCACAGTGGGGTTCGCAAATTCATTCCCAAGAACTCATGCAAATTAAACAATATTACTTGGACAAAAACGTAGCTATACAGATGATCCAATATGAACACCCTTGCACATACAAGTACTTGATATTTTACGGCTTTTAGTAATGCCATTCCAATTATATTGCCCTCTTTGTTTTAAATAAATAAACTTTGTATTTTTAATTTCCAACTCTAGCAGGTCTTTTCTTCTTTAAGACTGTTTGTAATTAGTTGAGATTTTAGGTAAAATATTTTTAATTTATTTACATTTTGTTTTTTAATACGTGATCAATTATTAAAAATATATTACAAATTTTGTTGATAATATTTGTTAACTTTCATAATTTTAGTTGTTTGTAAGAAAACAAAGTTTATAAATTACAGTTTCTTTTCTTAAGGTCTTAATGTGATTTTCTTCGTATAACACTCGAAACCCTACAATTTTTTTAATGCACCGAACAGAGCAACAAACATCAAACTTCAATTAACGGGCCTAGCTTGAATTGTTTAAAATTTCTCCTATCTTTCACAGCTTCCCAACCCGATTTTCCCCTGGCAATCCGCACACCAATTCCGTATCTAACCCAGAGCCAACATCGTTGGCATCCAGTGGGCATCTATCGTTATTTGATGTCCTCGAACATCGGGCCGTTACAATTCATCAAACAAGCGAATGGATATTACTTCATCGAGTGCTATATTAAATACTTGAACCGAGCGAACAACGAAATTGTCAACGAACAGCAATCGAAACGACCTCAAAAGTGGGTGGGCATGGGCGGTGGCATGGGTTTTTTCTGGGATAGGGGGCGTTAGGGAGGTTAGGTAAAAGTGACTGCTGCGAGCTTGAAACAAAAGTACATTGCAATAAAAGTTTTGTAATTGACAAACGGACAACAAACAAAACTCCACTTCAGTTGTCGGTTGTCGTTGTTTGCTGGACAGAAGCTCGGTCAACGGATGGGATGTGGTTGGGAGTGAAGTGGGTGGTTTTGGGGTGGGGTGATCAGGGGGCTGTGGGTTAACTGAAGTCTGCGCTGTTGGGGGCTAAACAACTGGCGCTGGCATCAACAAAAACCGATTTTCCAAAAAACAGGAAGCGGCAACAGCAGCGCCAACGTTGGGAACATCAGAGGCCCAGTTTGGGCCACGTTATCATTACACGAAAAGAGAAAATTTAAAGGTTTCGATAAAAAAATATGAATTTTTTTAACATTATTTTCAATTTTTTGAATTTAAGAAGAATTTAAAAGGAAGTTATAAGGCAGTTCTTTAAATTGTAAATACTTATTTTTGTGTTTGTTAATTAAAATTATGATCTAAAACAATAACTTAATATTTTGTATTTAATATTTATTTTTAGATCGGAAAGATATATTTAATATCTTAAAAATGTTGTTTAATAACTTATGATATTTTATATAGCGAAAAGCTTAGAGATTTCGTTTAAGCTTAGTAATTATACCCGTTACTCGTAGAGTAAAAGGGTATACTAGATTCGTGCAAAAGTATGTAACAGCAAGAAGGAAGCGTTTCCGACCCCATAAAGTATATATATTCTTGATCAGGGTCACTAGCCGAATCGATCTAGCCATGTCCGTCTGTCCGTCTGTCTGTCTGTCCGTCTGTATGAACGCTGAGATCTCAGAAACTACAAAAGCTAGAAGGTTGAGATTTCCCACACATATTCTTTGGCTTCCTACGCAGCGCAAGTTTATTTTAGCCGAGCGCCACGCCCCCTCTAACGCCCACAATCGCCCACTAACGATTTTAAAATGAGTATAAATGCAATTTTGTTGTGTATATTTATACCTATCGAAATGTAGAAGACATTTTTCAAATCGGAATCATCATTAAAAAGTTATACGCAATCAAAAATTATATATCTATCTCCCTCGCACTCCCTTTAGCTGAGTTACGATTATTAGTCGGGACACCAACCCGCGTTCGCACTTCTTTTAGCTGAGTGACGGGTATTAGATAGTCGGGACAACAACCCGACTATAGCGTTCTCTCTTGTTTTGGTATATTTTGTTACTTAGTATCACTAACTGCTTTCTCACTGTGTATACGCCATTCCACTGACATGCCTGTCTCATCATTTCGTACATTTGCGCCCGCATATTGACTTTGAGCGAGGCGCACAAACGATTCACAGATTTAAGAAATAAAAGTTTAGTGCTCCGGCGAGCAAATCTGTAGCCGCCAAAGCCAAAACAGCCAAGCCACCCAGACTAAAACACACACACAAAACATCGAGGGGGTCGCGGGAGTGTGGGTGGTGCGCCCTCTGTCAAAGCAAACAAAAGACGCGTCTGTGGTTGTTGCCACCCCTACCAATTGAATCACCCACTGAACCACCCATCGAACCACCCACTTTGCCTGCGGCTGTCGAACGCAAAATGTCGTCGATGGTTTGGGGACTTTGACTTGTTGGATATCTGAATCGGAATCGAAATCGGAATCGGGATCGGGTTGGGGTATGCTGGGCTGCGGGTCATTGGGCACGGGTAAATATAATTTTAGGTTTTAAATAGTCATGGTTTAAACTCCTTCTAAGATGTTATGCTTAATTTTTACGGATATTTTCTCAATCTTAAATAAAATGTTTTTACTGTGTTTATTTAAATATTTAAAATATTTTATGCTATTTCATCCTTTTGCAATTCTAGCTGAGAATAATAATAGGATACTTCAATATATTTTAATTATTTTTTTTGGAAACATATTTTTGTTGCTTACAACACCGACAAGCCCTTAAAACAGAAAAACCTTTAAATACCAATAATACCAATTTATTAAGTTGATTACTTTACAACATTTACTATTAAATAACTTCCAAACTAATTTTTTGCGATAAAGAAGAAAAACTTTTATGAAAATGCAATTTAAAACAATTTGTCAACGACACTGGAAAACCGAAAGAAAAGAAACGGGCAGGGGAATCCACAAAGGAAAAAGAGAAAGGAAACCGAAAATGTGAAAATGAAAATAATAATGAAAGAATGAATTATGAACTTATACGCGCCAGACCCGAAGGACCTTGCCAACTGGAACTCGCACTACCACCAACTACCACCCACTGCAGACCAACCCCCTCGCCACCATTTTCCTGGGACGTGAGTGGAAAGCAAAAATGGTGTGGCACAAAAATGATTGTGTATGTTAAGTTTGGCACGCGCCACGCCTACAATAAACCGCAAAAGTCAAGAGGGGGATGGGGATGGGGCTATAAAGATGGAGAGAGATAGAGTGTCCACAAAAGTATGCAACATATTTCACAGTTCGAGGCAGATGGCAATGGAAAAAGGACAAAACAGACCCCAGGGAAGGCGCCAATGTCGCCATCGCCACACGCCCACACTCAAAAGCGTGACTGTTACTTGCAGAATCCCAGAGCACCCCCATAACGCCCCACGCCTCCTTAACCCCTCTATCCCCGCCCCTGAATCACCCCTTCCATTCGAGGCAGAATTTTTGAATTATGAGCGCTCTGGGCGTAAGTTATACTTAACTACATGCCGCAAAAGTTGCTACGCTCTGTGTCATGTTTATTGCGATTTCATGTGCCATTACACCCAGCAGAGCGAAAGAGACACAACTGGCCGAGGGAAAGAGAAGGCGACAGTCACCGAAACTGCCTGCTAATCTGTTGATAAATAAACAGAGTGCACAACTTGATGGCTTCATATCAAATGGAGTACACAAAAAAAATTTGATTACAGATCCCTATGACGAGGAAAAGAGCATATGGTCGGTTGCCTTACATATTAATATTTTGTTTCACTGATAAGGATTTAATACATCTGTTTCGTAAGTGTTTGCAATTTTAGTAATAACTATAACTATTTTAAAAGAGTGAAGAAATATTAGATAATAAATAGCGTAACACCATATTAAATACTCTTTCAATGGAAATTTTTTTTACTCATATTCAATTAGATAATAAATAGCGTAACACCATTTTAAATTCTCTTTCAATGGACAATTTTTTTTACTCATTTTCAAAAATTCAACATGTACATTTTTACAAAACAACAAAAATTATAAAAAAAATTGAAAATATTTTTTTCTGTGTAAAGCAGCTGTCGTTGATAAATGTCAAACCATTTTTACCTGTGCCATGGCCACACTTTTCCACACCCCCTTACGAATTTTTACATGCATCTCACGTCGCTCTCGCACGCAAATGTGACCAGAGTCATGAGAGCTGTCATTGTTGTTTTTGTCATTCATCACGGCGAGCTAGAGGGGGGATATGTAAATAAAGAATTGTCACTTTGACACGTCTGATGCGTGCCAATTTCCCTATTTTCACCCCTCTTTCATCACTCTGAATTTATTCGCCTATTTCCGGGCTTTTATTCGATATGTCCAATTTATTCATTGCAAATGTCTAGCTTCCGGATTGTGAGTTATTTTATTGTGCTTGGAAACAAGATTTTTAGGTAACTTTTTTAGCCTTGAAGTGTTGTTCTAGCATTTATAGATTCGGTTACTAACCACCATATGGTTGGCAAGCAGCCAAGTACACAGTGAGTTATTTTCTGTTGTTAGTAAAAAATATTTAAAATGTTTATTTTAATGTTGAACAGATTTATTAAAAAAATGCATTTGTTTTCCTCAACAAAATTCCTTAAAAATTTATTATTTCGAAAAAAATTAGGTATCAATTGATTTGAACCAAGAATGTGGTTGACCAAACAATCTCGAAGTATTTTGTAAAACAGAGTAGAACGAATTTGGAAATCCAATTGAATTTTCTCGCACGCTTATTTATTTGAACTTTGGTAAATGTGAAAGCGACGCTTTCCGATTATGTATAAATAAAATGAATAAGTGACAGATTATTAAATCAGTTCCTGTACTGGTGTTCATCAAGCGAGATGTGGCTGGCGTGGATCGTAGCTATATCCCTTTTGTGGGAATGTTCGGCTACTCTCTATATGCCGAAATTTCTGTGCGTGCCACCGTATGTGGCCGTCGATGATAGTTGCATCCTTACTACTACCAGTAAGCCCGTGATCTTGGTAAGGTTTAATATATTTTTTAATAATCCATAATACGTCAGGATGAAGTCTTCTACAAATTTTTCCTTGTTCCTTTAACCATTACATTTATTTAAATTGTTTGCTCAATAGCCTTGTTCAGGGAACGGTTCTAATAAGACATTAGTTCCGGAAAAGGGGGGAGGAAATCCAAGTAGCTTCACGACTGAATCACCAGGTAATTTCAATGGTAAAACGACGACTGAACCCGAAGTTCCACTCATTATTCCTTTAATTCCTGAAGACAAAGAAGAAAAAAATGTTGAAACTGAAAGGCCGGGTCATTATACAAATACACCTGAAAAATTAGTAACGGTAAGAAAATTGATTTCCCATATTATTTTCAATTTTATAAACTAATTTTTAAAGCCTATACCGGAAAACTCGAGCAAGGGTCCTATCATAAATGGACCAGGGGGAGTAACGGGAAAACCGCCAGTTATTCCTTCGGAGCCAGATAGGATTAACCAAACAAAGCCAACGCAACCTACCATTGTAAGAATTTCGTAATTTACTGACACACTTATTATTTAATTTGTACTTTATTTATTTAGGGTCCGTTACCATTCCCATGGGTAAGTACTTTTGTTAAAATGAAAGTTCCTTTTATAACAAAATTATTCATTTCAGCTGGATCCAGAGCGGTATCCGTATATTTACCCTCCCGGTGTAAGAATAATGTAATTTACTAAAAATCAAATTAATTAATTTGTATTTAATTTTATTAGTTTTGGCCTTATATCTATCCATACCCAGGGCCTTATCCTCCCGGTGTAAGAATTACGTAATTAACTGACAAAAACATTTTAAAATTTGTATTTAATTTTATTAGGTTCCGCCTCCGGTACATATTTTTTTTTGGAAATTTGAGGTTTCCTTTAATAGCAAAATTATTAATTTCAGCCTTATAAAGGGCCTTATCCATGGGTTTATCCAGGGCCTTATCCACCTCTGGTACGTATTTTTTTCAAAATTAAAGTTTCCTTTCAAAGAACAATAATTAATTTCAGCCTTATCAAGGACCCTGTCCTCCCGGTGTAAGAATTACATAAGTAAATGACAAACATATTATTTAAATATTTTTTTAATTTAACTAGGTTTGGCCTATTCCGGTACGTATTTCTGTCAAAATTCAAGTTCTCTATTTAATTTGCATTTAATTTAATTAGATTCCGACTTTATTACCGCCTCTACCATCGCCCTTACCAACAGTTCCTCCGGTACGAATGTTTTTCAAAATTATAGTTTCTTTCATTGCAAAATTATTAATTTCAGATTTATACACGGCCACCACTTTCTACTCCTTCCGGTGTAAGAATAATGTAATTTTCTGCCATACATATTATTTAATTTGAGTTTCATTTAATTAGGTGAGGCCCCTAACAACAATTCCTCCGGTACGTATTTTTGACAAAAATTAAGTTTCTTTAATAGTACAATTTTCCTCTTTCTCTCGGTGTAAGATTTAAGTAATTTACTGTCTTAAATACTATTTAACTTGTATTTAATTTAATTAGGGTCAGATTTCACGTCCAGTTCCTGAAGTACGTACTTTTGTCAAAATATGAGTTGCATTAATAGTAAAAATATTTATTTCAGCCAACTGACAAACCTGGTCCAGAGATTATCATTACTACAATTCCCCCTCCTGTTGTAAGAACTTCATAAAATCCTCAAAAACGTGTCGTTCAATTTGATTTTAATTTAATTAGGTTGGGCCCTCACCGACTCCTCCGGTACGGTTTTTATTTGTCAAAATTTAAAAATTACCTATTACGTTATTTATTGAAAAACAATTTATTTAATTTTTACTTAATTTAATTAGCGTCCGCCTGTTCCACCAGGTCCTGTGGTACGTACTTTTGTCAAATCCAGAGTTCCTTTTAGAGTAAACATATTACTTTCAGGAGCCTGGTCCAGAGGGAACTATTCCTATACGTCCCCCTGTTGTTGTAAGAATTTCAGAAAATCCTCACATTTTTATTTGATTTTTAATTTTTACCTAATTTTATTAGCGTCCCCCTGTACCACCAGAACCTGAGGTACGTACTTTTGTCAAAACCAGAGTTGCTTTTATAGTAAACATATTACTTTCAGAAACCTGGTCCAGAGGGAACTATTCCTACACGTCCCCCTGTTGTTGTAAGAATTTCTGAAAATCCTACAATTTTTATTTGTTTTTTAATTTTTACTTAATTTAATTAGCGTCCGCCTGTACCACCAGAACCTGAGGTACGTACTTTTGTCAAAACCAGAGTTGCTTTTATAGTAAACATATTACTTTCAGAAACCTGGTCCAGAGGGAACTATTCCTACACGTCCCCCTGTTGTTGTAAGAATTTCTGAAAATCCTACAATTTTTATTTGTTTTTTAATTTTTACTTAATTTAATTAGCGCCCGCCTGTACCACCAGAACCTGAGGTACGTACTTTTGTCAAAACCAGAGTTGCTTTTATAGTAAACATATTACTTTCAGAAACCTGGTCCAGAGGGAACTATTCCTACACGTCCCCCTGTTGTTGTAAGAATTTCTGAAAATCCTACAATTTTTATTTGTTTTTTAATTTTTACTTAATTTATTTAGCGTCCGCCTATACCACCAGGTCCTGTGGTGCGTACTTTTGTCAAAACCAGAGTTCCTTTTATAGTAAAGATATTACTTTCAGGAGCCTGGTCCAGAGGGAATTATTCCTACACGTCCCCCTGTTGTTGTAAGAATTTCAGAAAATCCTCAAATTTTTATTTGTTTTTTAATTTTTACCTAATTCAATTAGCGTCCCCCTGTATCACCAGGTCCTGTGGTGCGTACTTTTGTCAAAACCAGAGTTCCTTTTATAGTAAAGATATTACTTTCAGGAGCCTGGTCCAGAGGGAACTATTCCTACACGTCCCCCTGTTGTTGTAAGAATTTCAGAAAATCCTCAAATTTGTATTTGTTTTTTTAATTTTTACCTAATTTAATTAGCGTCCCCCTGTACCACCAGAACCTGAGGTACGTACTTTTGTCAAAACCAGAGTTGCTTTTATAGTAAACATATTACTTTCAGAAACCTGGTCCAGAGGGAACTATTCCTACACGTCCCCCTGTTGTTGTAAGAATTTCAGAAAATCCTACAATTTTTATTTGTTTTTTAATTTTTACCTAATTCAATTAGCGTCCCCCTGTACCACCAGAACCTGGGGTACGTACTTTTGTCAAAACCAGATTTCCTTTTATAGTAAACATATTACTTTCAGAAACCTGGTCCAGAGGGAACTATTCCTACACGTCCCCCTGTTGTTGTAAGAATTTTAGAAAATCCTCCAATTTTTATTTGTTATTTAATTTTTACCTAATTCAATTAGCGTCCCCCTGTATCACCGGAACCTGTGGTATGTACTTTTGTCAAAACCAGAGTTCCATTTATAGTAAACATATTACTTTCAGAAACCTGGTCCAGAGGGAACTATACCTACACGTCCCCCTGTTGTTGTAAGAATTTTAGAAAATCCTCCAATTTTTATTTGTTATTTAATTTTTACCTAATTCAATTAGCGTCCCCCTGTATCACCGGAACCTGTGGTATGTACTTTTGTCAAAACCAGAGTTCCATTTATAGTAAACATATTACTTTCAGAAACCTGGTCCAGAGGGAACTGTTCCTACACGTCCTCCTGTTGTTGTAAGAATTTCAGAAAATCCTATATTTTTAATTTGTTATTTTATTTTTACTTAATTTAATTAGCGTCCGCCTGTACCACCAGGTCCTGTGGTACGTACTTTTGTCAAACCTAGAGTTTTTTATAGTATAAATATTAATTTCAGCCACCTGTCAGACCTACTGTCGGGATCACTATTCCTACACTTCCCCCGTTTGAGGTAAGAATTTCAGTTAAATTTTAAAAATGTGTTATTAAATTTGTTTTTTATTTAATTAGGTTGGGACTTTACCACCAATTCCTCCGGTACGTATTTTTATATAAATTTAATATTTGCCTATTATTCCCGGTGTAAGAACTACGTAATTTACTGACAATCATATTATATAATTTTTATTAAATTTAATTAAGTTGGGACTTTACCACCAATTCCTCCGTAATTTACTGACAATCATATTATATAATTTTTATTTAATTTAATTTATATAGATATATTTTCCACACTTCCCCCTAAATCGTAATATTAAATTTGATTTTATTTAATTATTTAATTTACCAACCATTCCCATTGTACGTATTGTATTTAAAATTGCAAAGCTCACATAATAACATATACTTTCCGATTCAGATTCCTGGAATAAATCTGACAATTCCAAGACCTCCGCTAATTCCGGTAAAATAACAAATTTTCTCGAAGAAATATTATTAAAATTGTATTTAATTTTATTAGGTGATACCTGAAGTAGATGGTATAGGTATAGGTGGTATTCCTGGATTAAATCTGACAATTCCTAAACCTCCGCCACTTCCGGTAAAAATAATAAATTTTCTCGAAGAAATATTATTAAAATTGTATTTAATTTTATTAGGTGATACCTGAAGTAGATGGTATAGGTATAGGTGGTATTCCTGGATTAAATCTGACAATTCCAAAACCTCCGCCAATTCCGGTAAAATAACAAAAATTCCTCAAGAAATATTATTAAAGTTGTATTTAATTTTTTTAGGTGATACCTGAAGTAGATGGTATAGGTATAGGTGGTATTCCTGGATTAAATCTGACAATTCCAAAACCTCCGCCACTTCCGGTAAAAATAACAAATTTTCTCGAAGAAATATTATTAAAATTGTATTTAACTTTATTAGGTGATACCTGTAGTAGATGGTATAGGTATAGGTGGTATTCCTGGATTAAATCTGACAATTCCGAAACCTCCGACACTTCCGGTAAATATAACAAATTATCTCGAAGAAATATTATTAAAATTGTATTTAATTTTTTTAGGGGATACCTAACATAGGTATAGGTGGTACAGGTGGTATTCCTGGAATTCCTGGTCTTCCTGGAATTCCTGGAAATTCCCGATCTTCCTGGAATTCCTGACTTCCTTTCTGGCTTAATCAATCCACGGCCACCTCCTATTCCCCCTATTGGGGTAAGAATTTCATAGTTTTCCCAAACATGTATTATTATATTTTCATTTAATTTAATTAGAAGATACGTCCACCAAAAAGTCCTAAGGTACGTATTGTTTTTAAAAATGTTTCAATTGTTATTTAATAGTAAAATTATGAATTTCAGTTGCCTCGCATAATTGATCCCAAGATCCCAGTGCCGAAGGACCCGGAAATGCCTAAAATGATTAGGCCTGAAGACCTTTATCCCAAGGAAATGTATCTGGGCAATCTTTTTCCAAGTGGCCTTCTTACCTAAATCCGTTTTTGTGATACCCTAAAAATTGAGTTATTTTGTATATAACCAAAAACGGATTAAGTTGGCATTGGGAGAATAAATAAATATTGTTCAACAATTTTGGTTGAACACTTGCCACATCCCTCGGTAATATTCATCGTGTCTTTTTTGATGTGGTCGGGTCATGCAAATTCATATTTTAATTTTATTCAAATTATACGCTGATTATGCTGTCAGCATCACTGGAGGTTCCGCACATTTTATTATGTATCTACATGGACATGTACAATAAAATCCCATTCCGTTCTCGTTTTTCGCCGGCCGCCTTTGTTGTTGTCGCTGTGGTTGTTGCTTAATCATTTCAAATTTTATATGGTAATTGTTGTTCGCCTGCCTTTGGCATGCAAATGTTTGCCCGATTGCATGTTGACCATTTGTTGTTTGCAAAACAGTTGCCATTGTGATTGGTATGTCCTCCTACCACAGTTTCCAAAAGCCCCCCGATTTGCCCGATTGCCACAAGTCCATTGAATTGATTGCTTTCGGTTTATAATGTGTTTGGCAGGCGATTTTGGGATAATAATTGCAACTTGCGTAAATGCTACCAAAGTTTCCATTTATATATTTATCTAGATTAAAAAAAAAGAAAAAAGGATTGTTTTAAAATGTGAAAGCTATATAATCTATAGATTATACGATGAAGAATAATGAAATACCCTTATTATTCATCTAAACCAAACATCTAGTCCCTGCATAAAGTATAATAGCCATCAATTATCTCCGATGGCGATTAACATCCTTTAAACGTTTTCCACAAATTCCAAGTGATTATAATTAGTTAATTTTGCAACTTACTATAATTGAACTATTTATTATAGCATATTAACAAATTAACTTCAAGAGCTGGCACACGAAAATCCATCAGAACCTAATTTAATTCTCATTCATTATTGATTGCAATCGAAAACAAGGGGTAACGACGAAAGGAAGGCACTGCACCAAAACCGAAGGTTCACCAGAAAGTGGGTCTGAATTTCTGCAATAGAGACTGAAATTCAATTCCATTATTAATAGAAACTTAAATTAAGGCCCATACCCGGGCCGTCATTATCAGGACATGGCAGCAGCGGCAGGGACAACAGGCAACAGGAATATATGGCTATATAGCAGCAGGTCCTGCCACATCCGACAAATGCAATGCGGGAAGCGACGACAACAACATCGAATTGTACAACATTTCGCAGCGGCATAGTCAAAATATCTAACGTACAACAGCTGGAAGACAAAGCAAAGGCGACCAAATCAACGGCAACGGATGCGAGAATGTTTATGCCCATTATGAACAAGCGTCGGTTGTGTGTGTGCACTGGGAGAAAAAATGGGATTCAAATTGAAGTGACTATTATAAAAAGTAGTCATGTTTGATCTTCTATTTTAGTCTTATTAGATGTTCAGACCACTTTTTAATAACTTGTAAAAAACCTTATTAAGTCTACTCAGTTTTTCTATTAAAATAGAGTATTGCATGAACTCATATTTAAAGATCTTAATATCCATATTTTTGTTTTTTACAAGAAACAAATGGGAGATTTAAAATATTTAAGCTCCTTAATATTTTCGTTTATCAACAATATCGTTTTATGATATACTATTATTTAGAAAAGGCCTAAAAATCGTTGTAAAGTATGCACTAAAAAATTAAATAAAAAATGTAAAATACTTTGTATACCCGTTACTCGTAGAGTAAAAGGGTATATTAGATTCGTGCAAAAGTATGTAACAGGTAGAAGGAAGCGTTTCCGACCCTATAAACTATATATATTCTTCATCAGGATCACTAGCCGATTCGATCTAGCCATATCCGTCTGTCCGTCTGTCTGTCCGTCTGTCCGTCTGTCCGTCTGTCTGTCTGTCTGTCCGTCTGTCTGTCTGTATGAACGCTGAGATCTCGGAAACTACAAAAGCTAGAAGGTTGAGATTTCGCACACATATTCTTGGGCTTCCTACGCAGCGCAAGTTTATTTCAGCGGAGTGCCACGCCCCCTCTAACGCAACACAATCGCCCACTAACGATTTTAAAATGTGTCTGACGCCCACACCTTTAAAGATTTCCGAGAAGTATAAATGCAATTTTGTTGTGCATATTTATACCTATCAAAATGTAGAAGACATTTTTCAAATCGGACCATTTATTAAAAAGTTATACGCAATCAAAAAAATTTTATATATCCATCTCCCTCGCACTTTCTTTAGCCGAGTGACGGGTATTAGATAGTCGGGACACGAACCCGACTATAGTGTTCTCTCTTGTTTAAACTAAAAAGTATATATAGTATCTTTAAACCAAAAAAAGTATTTCAATTATCCTTAAAAAAAATCCTTAAGTGTCGTTGTTTTATCTTATTATTTTAATAGTTAGCAATTAAGTAGGCCAGATTTCTCTTTGTGCACCAAGAGACATGGGTGCATGTGGGTGGGATTGAAAAGGGGTGCCAGGCATTCACATACCCATCACATAAACGTTTTGTGCATTGCAAATCTGTTTGCCGCAGGATCCGACCCAGTTGAAATCCTTCCAAATTATGCACGAAAATGTAAAATACTTTGTATACCCGTTACTCGTAGAGTAAAAGGGTATATTAGATTCGTGCAAAAGTATGTAACAGGTAGAAGGAAGCGTTTCCGACCCTATAAACTATATATATTCTTCATCAGGATCACTAGCCGATTCGATCTAGCCATATCCGTCTGTCCGTCTGTCTGTCCGTCTGTCCGTCTGTCCGTCTGTCCGTCTGTCTGTCTGTCTGTCCGTCTGTCTGTCTGTATGAACGCTGAGATCTCGGAAACTACAAAAGCTAGAAGGTTGAGATTTCGCACACATATTCTTGGGCTTCCTACGCAGCGCAAGTTTTTTTAAGCCGAGTGCCACGCCCCTCTTACGCCCACAATCGTCCACTAACGATTTTAAAATGTGTCTGGCGCCCACACCTTTAAAGATTTCCGAGAAGTATAAATGCAATTTTGCTGTGCATATTTATACCTATCAAAATGTAGAAGACATTTTTCAAATCGGACCATTTATTAAAAAGTTATACGCAATCAAAAAAATTTTATATATCCATCTCCCTCGCACTTTCTTTAGCCGAGTGACGGGTATTAGATAGTCGGGACACGAACCCGACTATAGCGTTCTCTCTTGTTTAAACTAAAAAGTATATATAGTATCTTTAAACCAAAAAAAAGTATTTCAATTATCCTTAAAAAAAATACCTTAAGTGTCGTTGTTTTATCTTATTATTTTAATAGTTAGCAATTAAGTAGGCCAGATTTCTCTTTGTGCACCAAGAGACATGGGTGCATGTGGGTGGGATTGAAAAGGGGTGCCAGGCATTCACATACCCATCACATAAACGTTTTGTGCATTGCAAATCTGTTTGCCGCAGGATCCGACCCAGTTGAAATCCTTCCAAATTATGCACGAAAATTATGTGTGCGAAAGCGAAAATTCCCGCAGACAAACTGGCATTGCGAATATTGCGCATACGACATGTGTTTGGCATAATAAAATGGGGCACATGCCGAGATATCGAAGGAACGTCGACCGGGATGTGCATTGTCATTAGCCCAATTCGGCGGATAGCTTTAAGTGCACGATGCCCCACTGCCTCAGATTCAATTCATCGCAATCATTTATCAAATGAGTTTTTCATAAAAAAATGTCACGCAATGGCAATGCAATTTCTGCTGCTTCTGGGAATCCTGCGAAATAAATGATGCCAGCTTGCATTCCCAGTTTTAGTGTCATAAGTAAATCCCAGCGGGATGGAAAAATGACTAAGAACTGACAGGAGGGGTTGGCAAAGTTAAAGTTGCCATGGCATAGACTGCTCGCTGGCATTATTACAATGTTGCATAAGACAGGAGGAGAGAAATGCGATTCTGTGCGTGTGTCCTGCAGCCAATAAGTTGCCAGCAGCCGTCGCCATTGCAGCAAATATCCCTTCTGGCTGCCTGACATTTATGTATGTATGTGCGAGCATGTGCAGTAGCAGTAACAACTTAAAGCTTTTAATAAAAATGTCAAGCGCATTGAAGTGCATTGAGCGACGAGGAAGAAGAGGAAGAAAAAGCAGCAGCCAAGGCAGCCAAATGTGCACGTCACAGCGTTTCAAAAAGGTCAAAAGGAGCGAAATAGTTGCAGATCTATAGATTTGCTTTTTATAAGCTAATAAAGAAAAGGTTAAGGAAAAGGTAATAAGTATCTACTAATCGTTTCAGTTTCTAGTAAAAATAATCATTGAAAATATTAATGGCTTTATGTCGTTTTATGTTTCGCATTATATTTCATAACAACTTTTGATTGACTTAAGAGAAACAATGGCTGAAATATTTAAGAACTTGTCTGTATTTTCTAACTGTAACTAAGGTCAAAAGTGAATAAGGAAATGAATTAAATTTTAACATAAATTAAAATTGTAAATTGTAAATTGTAAATTAAAAGATTTAAATGTTATAAAATTATTTCTGAATGTATCTTTATCCCTCTCACTCATGTTACTTTTAGCGCTATCCCGCTCTATTCCGAATAGAAATAATTAGTTATTTAAGTCGTCAAATTGCTTATTGCTCTCTTTTTTGAACTTAGAGAATTTCCAAGAATGAGAGATCGGTATTGCATGGTAAAAACGATATAAGTATAAATACCAATTTACCATGCGTTTATCGATTGGATCATGTCTTTTTTTGTGACTACATTTTTCCTTTTAAGGGTTTTAAAATGTTTCAGTTTGTGGCCTTTCATCATCAACACAAATCTTTTGTTTTATTCCCATTAATCTTAATATTAATGTTTTGAAAGCCCGAGTTTGACCTCCTTGCTAAAGGATTGTTCCCCTGACATGTGTCAAATATGTGTTACCAAATCAAGCTGCAGGTCGCATGTCCCCGCTTTTGTTTCACACGACTAGCTCTCGTTTGGATGTTGGCTAACCAAGCTGGCCTTAGCCCCCCTAAACCCCTGC